CTCTCAACAAGCTGCCAGTAAGCCCAGAATCCCAAATGCTCTCCCCATAAGTTTTCAAGAGCACTCTCCTGGCCTATGGGCAGAGTAGCAAGCCCCCAGTTTTCAGCAGAGAAGCATTAACTGGTTGGCCAATGGAAAATAAACTAAATTCTCAGCCAGGTGTGGGTGCTTACACCAGAGTCTCCCAGTTGGAATTACTTTGTCCCTCCTGTCCTCCCTTAGCTGTGTGTGTACCTCCCTTACAGCCACATCACAGACCTCCTTGTGTGACAAGGAACCCTGTCCCTAGACCTCTGTAGGGCAGAGCCAAGGTCCTATTTATCTTGACATCAAACCTTCACCCCCTTAGCATAGAGTCCTCCCTCAGATAATAAACCTGTGTTTCTAAAATCATCTCTGTGGATTTCGGTTTGGAATGCAGGTTTCCCTGATGTGTGCATGTGAGTGTCAGCGATGTTCGTGCCCACTCCCTGCGCTACCCACTACCCCGGCACATCCATCCCAGAGCACAGATCCTGCTCCACAGAGCTTCCACCTTCAGTGACTCCAAGGGAAGGTGGGACAGGAAACTTACAGACATCCAATGGGAGCCACTTGCTCGATAGCTCCCTCCAGGGCATTTCTTTGGATGTCACTAATTTAAAACAGCTTACTCAGTCTATAGTTCCATCCCCTGACCTAGTTCTCCGTCACAGCCCCAGGCCTCCCCTCCTTTCTTACCTAACATGTCTTTTTCTTTTTTTTTAAATCGACCCCTTTCCTTACAGTGAAACTTGTGCTATTGATTGTAAGCCACACACACTGAACTGTTTGCTACTAAGACGCCAGGCTGGCAGGCAGCCAGGCTCACTCACAGCAGAAAGTACCCAATGCCCTCATTGCACACAACCTCATCCTGAAGGAGAAGACGCCAGGACATACATGCCAGGCTTACAGGGAAAGCCAGGTGTGCTCACTGCCCCAATACAATGCCAACCCAGAAGCAAAGGAGAAAGGAGGGCAGGAGGACTACCCA